AAGATGGCCTCCGAGCCCTCGGGGTCCGGAAAGCTCGAGAGCGCGTGGAAGTACGGGTGGTAGATCTTGGTGTAGGTGTGCATCTTGGAGGCAGTAAATTGAAATGTGAGCTCACAAGGAGCCGTCCGCGGACAAGAGGCTGCGAATCTTGGCGTATCTATGCGCGGCCATTTTGGCGCGTGTCGCGGAATGCTGGTCGGAGGATCGTGTCGGTTTTATGCTTCTTGAAGTTGGCGCATAGAAACAGATGTGTGGCGACACGTGGCGCCCAGAAACGCGGGCTGCGACGATCGCCGTGGGCGCCAGGGGTCTCTTCGCGGGTTCTCTTCGATGGACGTTCGACGTGGGGCTGACTGTGTTCGCGCGACTATGTACGTTGGGCAAGCGCCTCTCGTCGCTGGACATTTTCCAATTCGCTTTTAGCAACAACAACACTATGGGCAAGCACCACGCCACGCACCACGCGCCGTCCGTCGAAGCCGACGAGAAGACGATGCAATTCCTGACCAAGTTTATGAACACGGCGACCAAGGAAAAGCTCACCGAGACGTTCGAAGGCCACATCACGGACCACATGGCCGACCTGATTGTCGACCAGCGCCTCTTTGGCGGCCTCAAGCAGCTCGACGACATTCTCGAGAAGAAGATCATGCGGAAAAAGCACTTTGAGGCGTTCCAAGACGTCGCGCTGCAGTGGGCCGTCGAGCACAAGCCCAAGGAGAAGCGAGAGACGGCATGAGCGCCGTCGCATTTGGGCCATTTTAGCCCTACTAATAATTTGCATTTTACTCGTTTCTTCCTCCAAGATGAGCATTGCACAACGCTTCGCGCCATAGTACTAGCGTTGCAGCTAGGTAGGTAGGACAGCAAAACGAAAGACATTGGATCCGTGGGTGAACCATTGGAAGCGATTTCTGCGGCGTTTGCTATTCGAGCTGGGCGAGAAGCGGAGACCCGAGGCATCGACGGTAGGCGGCATGCAGGAGGGAGCTGGGTGGTTCGTTTGATCCATAGTCATTTTATGTGGGCCCAGGATAAGATTATTGGCTCAGATCTTAGACCTATTGCTCGAACGTTTCAAAGGATAGCGCACCAATCAACGAGTTTCATGTTGAATACCCATGCTAGATTGTATGTGTATCGAATCAATCGAATTGTATTGTGCATTGCTAGTACGGTCGTCTTTTGGCTCTAAAGATTTGCACTTGGTGGACAAACTCGGAGTTCCATCGTAGTTGACTCGTCGTCGTCGTGAGCAGCATGGCTAGGTGTGCGGCCTTTGTGGCTTTAACTATGCTTTTGTCGGTTCTACAGCGGTCATTCTCCATGTGATCGGAAGAGTAGTTTGGAGTAAACGTGGCTGCGATGCGTAGCGCCTCGTGATTTC